GGCGCTTCTCTGGTCAATATGATCATGTTTTATATTTATGTTTATTATTTGATTTATATAAATGGACATATAGCCGCCCCAACGATAGAAGCGAGCGTGACAAAGGCCTTAGTATACCAGGGCACGGGTTCAACCCCTGCCCCTGGTATTTTATTTTCACATATTTTGTTGTTTACGGATCCAGTGAAGCCATCGTCATATGTGTGTTGTGCATCCCCCTCATCATCACCCTTGGATCTCCAAAAGATCCATATCTACACGCTAGAGTTTCCGTGCCCACAGTGAACCTACTTGGAGCAACACACTGGATTCAATACAGGTGTTGGGCTTGTTGTTTGGACCTAGTGAACTTCTCTCCTTGCACCCCTCGGTTTGCTGCTACAACAGGCCCATTCTCTTTTTTTTAATTATTATTTTGCTTAAACTTTTTTTACATAATTAACTCTTTTTTAAAATTAAATTAACATTAATTTAGATTTAGGTTTTTTCTAATTAAGTTAACCAAATTAATTTTCTTTTTTTCAATTAACAAAATTAATTAAATTGTTTTTATTATTTTAACTTAGTTTTTAGGGTTTAATTAGCTAAAATAAAATTAGGTTTTTAATCAATTAGTTTTTTTCCTAATCAAAATTAATTATGCTTTTGAGATTAAACATCAAACTTTTTCATTAAAATAATCACCGAACAATTTTCTCAGTTTCTTTTCCTTTTTACCGCTTCGCGTATTATTTTTGCATTATTTTTCTCAATTATGTAACTGCTACAATATGTAATAGTTTAATCAGGTCTTGCTTTCTTCCCCCCCCCCCCCCCCCCCCCCCCCCGGTTTTATGGTTTGTACCCCCCTTCCTCGAAACAGGGTAATAGTTTAAGTTTACTTTCCGCACCTTTATTTTTCCATAATTTATTGTTTTCCTTATTACTGTCTAGTTAATAGGATTGTATGGTAAGATCTAAAATCAATCGTCAGATAACCCTAATCAAGATAAAAAAATTGAACTAAATCACTTTTCACACAAGCACCTCCAGGGTGACTCCACTTGTTGCCTTCAGAAAACATGTTCATGTCCCTCGAACGTAGGGGTACCCTTAGCAAAGACCCTTGGTAAAATCATCATAAAAATCATAGTCCCGTGATGTCCCTCGAGTTGCCTACGAGAAATGATCTTGTCCCTTGATGCTGCCTACGAATATATGATGATAGTCCCTTCAAATTGCTAAGGTATCCCTACATGTTGCCTTCTATGACCATAACGATGACCCGCGTCTGTCCCTTCACATCCAACGACAGGGATTCCTACTAATTAATGGTAGGGTAACACTATCTAAAGGAGGAGGAAAAGGACAAAAGACTTTTGAGTAGGTAGATAGCTCGTAATCGCTTGCTCACGAAAACAAAACATTTTACACAAAACACTTTCTCTGAAATATTTTCAAAAACAAACACTTTGTACGCATTCTTAACTGATACAAGATCCATTACAAAGTTGATGCACTTAGGCATTTTTCAAAATATTTTCAAACATACACGCACAAAGCATTTCAAACAAAAGTGAGCTAGCGATTAAGATTCTGTAGATAACTACGGATGAAAAGGGTGCTAACACCTTCCCTTTTCATAACCTACCCCCCGAATTCAGAAAATTCTCGAAGGTCTTTCCTGTTCTTTTCACCTTTCCTAAATATTGGATAAAAGAAAAGTCGGTGGTGACTCTTTCTATCCGTAACATTTGTGATAAAACACAAAACCAAAAGTAAGTCCCCCCACCATATTACAGTTACAATTTTGTATTCTAATAGTTCTTTAAGTGTGTAGATAAAACATTCTATTTGATTTGGGATTGTTGTCTGAAGAATAATCAGAAATGTGTTTAGCTCGCATCAGAAAGACTATTCCATTTGGTTCTGATGAAACATTAGCAGTTCTAATGAATGTTGAATGTCCGCCATAAATAGATCCACGCGTATTTCTCAGATAATTTATTACTTTAGAAGTCACAAGCGTGTCTAGAAAAGGAGTCTCCATGTGAAGATCAAATATCAAGCTTTTGCTTCAACGATCAAATATTAAGCTTTTACTTCAACGATCAAAAATCAAGATAAAGTGCCTCTCAGATAAAGCTTTAGCTTCCAGCTCAGATATCAAGAAAGTGTTTGTCAGATAAGCTGTTGCAACATGTCTAAAGACTAGGTTCTGATTCTTAAAGACTCTGATACGTTTGAGAACATTACAATGAATCATCTTCTGGAATATTCTTCACTTCTTATCAGAAACATTCCATTAGAAGATTAAAGAACAAAGGCGTGATCTCTTATGCGCTCTCTCTCCTACTTCAGACCAGAAGTATCCCAATAGAAGAAAAGATCAGAATCTTACACAAGAAGATACAATACAACAGTACAACACTTTTTCGCTATTTTTGAAAAGTGCAGTGTACAAATAAAGTTTTGGTGTGCTCCCTGTCTCCCACAATCATACGCTACCGTTGTAGTAGGCGACTTGATGAAAGTTACATTTTCTAATGATCTTATTTTCTCAGCCTATAAAAAGGGATTACTACTTCATTAGGGACTAACGATGAACAAATAAACTATTCAAAGGAAAAGCATCAAAAAGTGAAAGAAAATCAAAGAGAGAAAATACTCAAAGAAATATTCTAAAACATAAAGAGTTATTACTCAATTTTGTGTTAACTACTCACACTCTATATCACAAGATTTATTGGTTGTTATTGTGTTATTTATCATTGTTGTATGTACAAGAGTTGTTGCTCATATTTGTGTAAACATTAATTCTTCATTGTGGTGTTAAATCTGCTTTTTAGAAGCACTATTGTAAACACTATTTGATTGTAAATATTTATAGATTTGTTTCCTCAAGTGACTAAGTTGTAGTCATAATTACTTGAGAGGGCTAAGGTGCTTTTCTAAACTCTTAGACAATGCTTTAATCTTTCTAGATTATTGGATTAAGTCATTTTCTAAGACAAAATCACCTTGGCGGGTGGACAAGAGTAGCCTTTTCTAAGGTGAACTTGTATAAACCAAACATGTCACTTATCTTTCTTGCTTAATTATCACTGTTTGTTCGTGAGAAGCATTTGCAAAAGAAATAGGTTTGAAAACCCCAATTAAAACCCTCATTTCTTGTGTTTTTCTCAACCTTCAAACTAGAGGATGAAAAACACCGAATCAATGTAACTATTTAGAGAATCACTATTAAAAATAATGTTGTATACTTCTCTCTCCATGAAATCCTAATCCACCCTTCCATGGGCGTGTCTATAAGCTTCCACACATTATTTCTACAACACATGCCTCTCAACCACATTTTTGGATGGAATGACCATCCCACTATCATCATACTCGTGGATCAAAACCATTGTAAAGAAAAAGTGATCGACCGGTAAAAACAAAGTGGAAAACATTCACCATACCGAATTAAACGATTTGTGACCATTTGATTTGACAGCCGAAAGAATTCATAACCATTGAAAGATGGAGAAAATATTAAAGGATGCGTATGAAAGATAAAAGATGAATTAGGGTAGAAATCATGACTCATTAGCAACCACAAAATGCCACAAGTTCCCATAAAAATAATCATGAAACACTATGTCCTTTCCCAAGCTAGGGAAGACAAAGAGTCCAAAAATATGGATCAATTCACCATTAAATTAGTATGAATCTAGGTCGTCGTACCTACTAGTCAGCCTTAAATGCTTCACCTTTCGGGCCTTACGCTCGGGGGGGACTATGTACATCCCAGGAAGGTCATCCTAGGTATCGGCGACCGGTAACTCATTAGCTTTAAGCATTGGGCCCCTTCGAGTCTCACGTTTGGGGGACTGTGTACATTATGAGTATCGACGACCACTAACTCATTGGCCTTAAGCGCTTCGCCCTTTTGGGCCTCACACTCGGGGGATTGTGCACATCCCGGGTATCTCATCTCAGCAAAAAGGTGGGGTATGATAGGACTAGGATACCGGGTCTACGAAGAAAATCGTTTATGTACATCCCAAGTACTCTATCCCAATTACATGGCGGGATATGATGAGAGCATGATACCGAGTCTAAGAAAAAGACACGCTATGTACATCCCGGGTATCCTATCTCGGTTACTTGGTGGGATACGATGAGAGCATGATATTGAGTCTAGGCAAAAGACACGTTATGTACATCACGGGTACCCTATCTCAGTTACTTGGCAGAATATGATGAGAGCATGATAATGAGTCTAGACTAGAGATTGAAAAGACGCATACACGTCGACCAAAGTCAGGATATCACAAACACAATTTTATGAGCATTTATCATTGTGATGAAATTATATCCAAACGTGTCTCGCAAATCCCATAATGAACAATTTTCTGTGTTTATGATCATTCATTGACATTGAAGTATTGTTGTCTATCTTACCTCCTATTTACATAGAGGACTCACTAAATAAGAGAATGAACTTCAAACCAAAAAAAAAAAGAACAAATCTAAGACTAAATCTTAAGACACAAAAAAAATTGATATAACTTTTCCTTAATATTTCTCGTGACTTATTAGTTTATTTCATTTTGCTTTGTATTAAACCCGATTGCGAATAAAATTCTATTTATTTTAAACTTAATTTCTATAATCCACAACTCGTATTTTTTTTCTTTGAAAAAATATTGTATTAAATGTATTAGCGGAAATTTGTGACTTTCTTATAATAATAATAATAATAATAATAATGTATAACTAAAAAAGGGGTTGAGTAATAAAAAGAGAGGAACAATTGAATAGTCTACAATAGTTTATATTACTTAATCCATATTCACATCCAAACAATCAAGTCTCTATTTTATTGATTCCGATACAAAACCAAAAATAACAATGAAACCAAAAGTATATGTATCTAAAAAACTAAAGTATAGAACAAGAAACCCAAAAATAGAAATAACCATTTATAGTGTAAATAAGTATACGACAAAAAGTAACCATTCCAAAACAGCTAAAGTCTAAAGCAACAAGTTTATGACAAGGGCAAAGAGAGCAGGGAAAGCGGCAAGGAGAGCAGTTGCTGAGCTGGGTGATGGAGGAGTAGCGCCAGGCTGAGTTGGAGAGGAAGGGGATGGTGTTCCTCCGCTGGTAGGGGAAGTTGGAGTGGTTCCAGATGAAGGGGGAGTAGCAGAAGGAGGAGAAGACGAAGAAGATGATGGGACATTAATGGTTAGTTTTTGGCCGCCAGATTGACAATGGGTTGGGAAAGTACATGTAAAATAGAAATCACCAGTTCTGTTAAGGGTGAATCTTGCTGGTGTTGTTGTTATGGCATTTGTGATTCCACTCACATTGCAATTGTCGAAGTCTGCCTTGTTAATTTCAGCAACAGTGTGGGCATTCGCAAAGAAATTGAAAACTGTAATAACAGTAGTACGAAACAATAATAAGAAACTGTTTCATTCATTGAATCAAACTAATTAATTTTCAGAAGAAGAAAAAACTCACCTAGAACATCGTTTTGTTTGAATGTGTTATTAGACGCCCAGTCGGAGTAAAACGTAGCGTTAGCTCTATTTGTCCACCCTGTTGTGCCTCCAACAGTATGATCTGCTGCTTCTGTTCTTTCTACTATTGTTGCAACAAAAGCAATTAATAAAATAATTGACAAATTCTTTAACTGACACATTCTTCTTGTCTAATTAATATGTGTTTTCAAGTCGCCCCTGTTTGTTTCTGTATTTGTGTTTATCACTAGGAAGCGCTCGAATTGAATTTGATGCTATACCTTCTCTTTTGATTTATTATATATACAAGTTTCAGAACTTTTCTAAGTGCAAGACTGAGTATTTTTTCTTTTTTCTTTAATTAATTAAATTGGTTGGGTCAATATTTGTGTTCCGGTTTTGTAATTGCATGGAAATGGTCTAGAAGTAGACTTTTAATATGAATATGGAACTTGTCTCTATTATCTCATTTTCTTCCCTTTCCCACCACCAATTCACGCGTACATAATTCCGTAGAAATTTGTTGTTTTGATGGTGACTTATAAATTAACTTAACGTGTTGTAAACAAAGACAATATTGTAGTAGGTATTAAAATCAACTCGCCTGCTATTGGAGGCTTTTAGCTGGAAAAAAGTTACCCTTATTCACATAGTGTTCTACTATTCAAAGTGTGTTTTTTAGGATGTTTTAGAAAAGTTAACCGTTTAGGTATGGTTATTCTCATACTTTTAAAAAAACCGTCACAGTCGCGCAAATGATTTTGTGATTTCTGTTGGTATATGTGTCATAACTTGATAGTGATCGTCGCAGTGTGAATTAATCACAATTTATTCTTTAATAAAGAAAATAGTGATAATGGTATCAAAAATCGACATATGACAAAATTGTTTTGTCGCAACTGTTTTGTAGTCGCAAACCGTTTTTTAAAACCTTGATTATTCCTTAGAACGGCTATTCTTTCTTTATATTCTACATCCACTGAGATAATTGTAATCGCAAGTCTGTAATATTGATTTTAACCTAGAAAGACGTGAATTAAAAAAAAATCAAAAATAAGCAAAATACATACATCAACTAATATTAATGTTAAAGACTTAGTCTTTCCCATAACACCTTCACGACACTAATTCTAAAATAAATTATGATTCCCAATTTAAACTAATTAGATTTAAAGGTTAGAAGTATCACTTGAGAATTGAGAATAAATAGTAAGCTTAATTTAAGTCAATTTCCATAATTCTGTTTTATTTATGATATTATATTATTTAATATTTATAAAAAAAGAGTGACATTAATCAAGAGAAAGATTACATGCTCTGAGTATAACGTCTGTGACCCTGCTTCTAAAGATAAGCAAAGCCTCAATATTTCTGATTAAAGAATAAGTGATTTCTCACCCTGTTATCCTTTAAACAAAGTTTCATGACCTTGACTGTTTACAACCATTACAGTCGTTAGAAGTAGAACCATCATTATAGCCATTAACTTAACATGTTCTTTTTTCTGGGGCTCCACTACGTAATTGTTATCAACAATCTATTATGCAAATTGAGGTTGAGTCAGCTTCCTGTCTCAAACCTGAGCCGCCTTGCTAGTCGTATGACCTCACTCACACAACATATTGTGGCGAGTTAGCATGTGAACATGGTTGTCTTCATCTTGCATATTCCAATTTAAGTGCTATGTGCTCTAGAGCCAGCAGGCCGACGTCTCATGATGCCAAGTGGGTTTGAATCTTTATACACATATTGGTTCATAGTCCCTCAAGCACAGGATCAATAAAGGAGAAATATTTTAAGATTGAGGAATTGCTTGCTAGATTCTCTACTATCAATCCTATTCATATACAATTGATTTCCTAAAGTTTTGGGCTTTTGCAAAACTGTGTGTTGTTTGCTTTTAGGCTTCTTATGTTTATTATTTGTCCATTTCTAATCCTTTAATGTTTTATTTTACACAAAAGATGGTCTACTTTGTTGGAAATTCATCAAAATTTATGGAGAATTACTATCAACGTAGATTAACAAGATTATTATTAATATACAATAACAATGAAAGAAAGAAATACGATTTTACAAAATTGGGAAGAAGATAATAATTTTACGTAGCGTTTCTCTCTGTCCACAAACTGTGCAAAAAATTTATTCACTTTACAACTGCAAAATTATGTGAATATTTGTTCAAGTTGTTTACAATATAGGGGTTACTCCCTATTTATAATGAGCTTGCTTGCTCCCTAAGACGAAACTCCAAAAATACAAAAAAGACCAAAATACTTAATTTTGCTAACACTGCAAAATTAGGTCTAAGTCGAAATACATGTCGATGCTACTCCTTCGATATTTTGACACACACTAGACTAGACTATTTCGACACAACCTTCCTTCTGTCGAGCAACCTGCTTCGACACAAGCAATTACAATCTCAACATACCACATAATTCATTGTGTCTAAGCTATCTATATTCATCATAGCTCTTAGTCTTATAAATACTTCGACATACACACCTTTCGTCATGTTGTATGCAATCTGATTCTCAGTTCGACAGTGTTCCAAGTTTATCTTTTCATCTACTACCTGCTCACGAAGATAATGGAACCTCATCTCGATGTGCTTGCTTCGACCACGTGCTATCAAATTCTTTTCCAGATTGATAGCTGACATGTTGTCGATCTTCATGGTAATTTCTCCATGATTTTTCTTTGTTATCTCTTCGATCGAATTCACCATCTATATTCCTTTAACATGCACAAAGAGAAGAAGTTATGTACTCTGCTTCACACGATGGTAGTGTCAATACTGGTTCTTTTCTCGAACTCCAAGCAACTAGTGCACCACCTAACATAAACACATAGCCAGCTGTGGATTTTTGATCCTCGACATCACTACACCAACTTGAATCAGTGTAATACACTAGTCTGCATTTTTTCCTTCATCAGTTGCATGAAATAGAATGCCATAGTCGAGAATTCCTTTGAGATACTTCAGCATCCTCTTCGTAGCTACTAGGTGTGATACCTTTGGCTACTGCATGAATCTACTTATTATAACTACATTGTATGCTAGATCAGGCCTTGTGTGAAAAAGGTGCATTAATGATCCAATAAGTCTTATGTACTGGGTTGGGTCGACATCATCTTAATCCGAGTCTTTCGACACATGCAGCCTTGGCTCAACATGTTTCAAAGCCGAGTTTTATTCTTCCACTTAAAATCTCTTGAGTATTTCACTTGTATATCTTCTTTGATGCATCATCAATCCTCTACTGCTCTTGTAGAATTTGATGCATAGGAAGTATGAAATATCACCCAGGTCAGACATTTTGAATTCCTTACTAAGATCATCTTTGAAGTCTTTGATCTCTTTCTTGAAACTACCTATTATTAACAATTCATCTACATAGAGACATAGTATAAGCAATTCACTTTTGCTTCTTCTTACATATACTCCATGCTCAGTTGTGCACTTCACAAATTCCTTCTCTCTTACAAAACTATTTATCTTTTTGTTCCAAGCTCTTGGAGCTTGTTTGAGTCCATACAGGGCTTTATGCAACTTGTATACCTTTCTTTCTTCGCCTTATTTCACAAATCGAACTGGTTGTACAACATAAACTTCTTCTTCTAAGGGGTCATTTAGGAATGCATATTTCTCATTCCTTAAGGCCATCTATGATCATGTCCCTGTTGATCACTACTTACTTGTTCATTGGGTTGAACAACTTGTATCTTCCAGTCGAATGATATCCTATTAGGATCATTTGACTTAACTTGTCATCAAGTTTTCTTCTCAACTGATCTGGAACATGTGTGTGATACGGTGGGTAGAACTGATTGTTTTTGGAATACTGGTTTGCGTTTTGCGTTTTGTTTTCGCAAAATGTCGCGGTAAGCAAGATTCGCCATCGACTTTTATTTTATCCAACAAGGAAAGGAAAAAAGCACAGAAAAATTCCTTTTTCGAGATATTTCTCGGGTTCGGGGGGTAGATTATAGAAAGGGAAGGTGTTAGCACCCTTTCTATTCGTGGTTATCCACGGGCTCTTAGGTACTTGCTCAAATGTTTTCAAAATTGTTTTCTTTGTGCTTGTGGGTTTGAAAAAGTTTTTGTTTGAAAACTTCGATTTAAATCTTGCTTCTGTCCTCAAGAGCGTATGAAGTGTTTTTGAAAACTTTGTTAGAAAAAGAGTGTAAGTGTGAAAAGAGTTTTGTTTTTTGAAAGAGCAAGTATCTAAGAACCATCTACCTACTCAAAAAAAGGAATCGTTCTATGCTATTTTCCTTTAGACAATGCTATCCCACTATTGATGAGTAGGTAGCATCGTCGTTGGAGTTTGAGGGTCAATTCGAATGAGGGACGTGCGGTCACTAAAGCAATGTTAGGACGCCTTAGCGGTAACCCTAATGTCTTAGATCATTTGTTCGAGGCAACAATATCTGAGGCAACCATTTCGAGGCGACTATGATCTTTTAGACAAGAGGGCGACCTCTAAAGTGACCTATACTCAATGACCGCGTACGAAGGCAACGAAGTGGAGTGTACCCTAAGAGTGCGCATGTGCGAGTGTATCGTTTTCAGTTATTTTTATCTTTGTACATGTTAAGGGTGATCTAAGTTGATTTTAGGTTAAAACATTCAATCTTGTCATGCCATCCTATTATCAAACATCTAACAGTTATAATTTGCGGAAATAAAAATGCGAAATTTAAATTACAAGGCGTCGGGTATTTACATCGCCAAAGACAAACCCTTTAAAAATAAATAAAGCGATAAAAATAAATAAAAGTCCTATTTACTATTATAATCTAGGAGCAAGTACATTATTGGATAAAAGAAAATAAATCGCGTGCGGGAAATTAAATCGAGTGCAAGATTAGGGTTTTGACCCTTTAAAGAAGACATTTTTTTGTTGTTTTTATTTTAAGAAAGAAATTAACCTAAATTAATTACTAAATTAATAAATTTATTAATTAATAAAAATAAATTATTTTTGGATTTTTTTTGTTATTTCAAGAAAGAAAAATAAAATAATTAATGTTAGTAATTAAAACATAATTAAATCTAATTTAATTTTAATTATTTACAAAGAAATAGGTTAAAGTTATTTCTAATTAAAACCTAAATTAATTAGTGTTTATTAATAAAAAATAAAAATTTGATTGGATAAAAATATTTTTTTGG